AAATTCAAAACAGATAGAAAAGAATATAAAAAAGACGCATAAAGGACCCTCTTGTCTGAGGACCTGGCATCCCTTGAATTGCACACATGGGTGACAGATGTTTGAAATTTTTCCAACATCAGAAACATTGCCAGCCCGTCATGAAAGCAACAAAAGCAAAAGGACAAACAAACAGAAAACTAAAAGATGAAATCTGAGGGCAGAACTGTGGCTGTGCTTGCAGAGGACAGTGTCTTCTTGTTTTAGAGAGATGAACTCTACCCGGGAATGAGGGGGCTGAAATGAATTCAAGGATGGAAGAAACAGGACTGATGGTGCATGGAGCTGAGGTGCAGGACTGAGCAAGGCTGAGACCCTGGGCTGGGACCCTGGGCTGAGGCTGGTGTCGCCTGTGGCTGGCTCGGAAGACAGTGTACCAGACACACAAACACTGGAATTTGCTCTACTTGGCTGTGGGCTTGTTTAGCTACACTAGGAAACCTTTCTTTCCACTTCCTTTTTTTTGGAATGAAGAGTTCCTCCTTCCTCTCTTCCTATTTTAGTCTGGAATTAATGACACTGGATACCAAAGCTTCAGACGTCCACAGGGGGAGAAGAATTTTTTTCTGGAACATATGTCCTACTCAGTGTCTCTCCATTTAATTTTGATAGGGATGTAGACTACAAGTTAATGTTAGAAGGGCTAGTCTTAAAGATGCTGGGATCTGATGAATATATGTGGGGGTGGGTAGGATCAAGATCAGGGAATCCCCTGACTATATTATATTCTTGAAAATCGGCTTTAACTCCTATTTCTTTGCAGTGTTTCATTATTTAGAAACAAAGTATGCTAGTAAATTTTCTGTGTCAAAAACAACCCAATAACCAACTTACAAAGACAGGAAACAGATTTTGTCTGACAGCTTTAGAGAATGTAGACCATGATTCTGTCCTTGGGCTTGTGGGAATACATTGTTTACAGGAGAACAAAATGATTCACTTCCTATCTAGGGAGGTAAAGTCAGGAAGAGCAGGGGACTGATAATCTCACTATCTCCTTAAGGGAACATCTACTATAACCAAACATCCCCAAACCCATACCTCCAAAAGTTTCCATCACCTCCCAAAAAGTCAAGCAAGAAACAAGTGTTTAACAAACAGGGAAGTCAGCCGGGTATTCTAGATGTAAATTCTGGCCCAAGGCTGCTGCAGAGATACCTGCTTAAAAGAAGTGGGCCAGTTCCCAAGTCTGCCAGCAAGAACTGGAGAAGACAAGGAGATGCAGTCCAGCCTATACCTTACTTCACACTTTCAGCATCCTAAATGGAATGAGAAGAGTTTTCAGTTGGTCTAAGCCACCCACCTAGTGCAGCTGTGTCCGGGCAGACCTAAGAATGTGAGGAAGGATGCTTCACATACCAGGATCATGTGAACTGGCCTGCACAAGCATGATGACTGCTACCGCCCCACTTATAGCTCATAAAATGTGAGGAGGTTCTCACAGGTCATGTGATTAACCCATCATTTAAAAGTCAGTGGTTGTTAAGCCAGGTTTTCCAACTCCAGCATCTGTCTTGGCATTGATCCCCAGTTGCTTTTCTGTGTTTTTTTTTGGGGGGGGGAAGGGGGAATTTAAAAGAGAATCTGAAATCTTACATGTTTCTGTGTTATTGAATGTCTATGAGAACCTTGACAAACTTCAACATTGCATAGTTCAAGCTATCCATGTCTAATAATGGGCTAGAGAAACAGAGATAAGCTTCTTGATAGCAACTGATTTGTAAACCTGTGATAGGACACTGAGCAGTAAACACGAAAAGGCCCAGGACTTCAGAGTAGACACTGATTGTTAGGTGCTAATTGAAGAGTATTCTGCCGCTTTAACAAGAAATGTGAGTAAATCAAGCTCAAAAACTTAACTTCATGCTGGGGACATGTGCCGATGTGTGGTGAGCTCACAAGTACTACACAGTAAATGGAAAGACGACAGATCTATTGGACTATTCATGGGAAGTCTATACAGACAGCCCACTTGGAGCAACCCATTTTTGTAGAGCTACAGGCACATCTGTCCTTTGGATAAGTCACTGTCAATTCTGTAAAAATCTTGTGAAATCATAGCATTTCTCCCTTCTTTAGTGTCTGTATAAACCTGACTTTTCCTGTAGGGCAACCAGATACCATAAAGCCAAAGTGTGAAAAGGATTCTGTCAAGCCTTTGTTCTCACAGGAAAAAATCTACATAAAAATTGTCCCCCACAAACTTTCATACAGGAAGTGGTATGTCTGCTCTAACAGCAGACTCAGGAAGGTGTGATCTACTGGTCTGCTCTGACTTAGCGAACTGTCAATATTCTGTATTTACCCTTCAACTTGGTTTCACCTAACATAGGACCATAGCCCAGAAAATTAACTATTAATTCAGGAAAAAGCCCTGAGTTGCTAAAACTAGCCTCAGAGAGAAAAATTCTCCCCTGGTCATCCTGCTGGAGTCAAAACCAAGGCCCCCAGAAGAGATTCCTATTAACTTAGGCAGCTAGATGTTAAAGCAATCAAGACCGCATGTTAGTATAGCTACCAAGGCTGTGTTCCCAGCTGTAGGAGAACATCACAGCCATGCTGCCTCTGAGACTAACTTGCCTCTTTACCAGATTCACTGGTTTCTTGTGACTCTATAGAAATGCATGCTTGATATTATTGTTAGCACCGATGGGGTTGTTAACTTGTCTGTACACCTATACAATCTGAAAGGGTTGTGGAGATCACCCCTTTTGACCCTTTACCCTTATGCTTTGCCTGTACCCTTGGGCCTTATGCCCTAATGCCCTAATGCCCTTATGCCCTTATGCCCTTATGCCCATCTTCCCCCAAAGAAAAAAAAAGCACGCAGAAAAAACATGCCCGGGTCAGTTAGTTTGTTTTACCCCTCAAATCCCATTCCCAAGCAAATTTTTTCTTGTTGTGTCAGTCCTGTTTGAACTCTGAAGGAGTGCTGAGACTCGTACTCAGTAGCCCCCACTGTCACTTGGTAAGAAGGCTTGGTCTGCAAACATGAAGACCAGAAATGGAATCCCCAGCATTTTAACATTCATGTTTAAAACTGGTATGGCTGTGTGCCTGTAACCTTGGTATTGAAAGTTAGAGACAGGAGGATTCCATGAGGATAAGGGCCAGCCAGTCTAGTCAAAATAGCGAACTTCCTGTCCAGTGACAGACTGTCTCAAGACACTAAGGCAGGTGGAGATCAAGGGAGAAAATGCTGTAAAAACCTGCGCCTGCCTCAAAACACATGAAAGTGAATGCGTACCTGAGCATTTGCAAGCATGCTGCAAACATTCTATATCACACACAAACACACACACACAAACACACACACACACATACACACACACACACACACAGACACTGACACACACACACACACACACACACACACACACAAACACACACACAGTCTTACTCCTTAGTATCTAAAATATTTTAGAGCATCATGACAAACAATGACTCTCTCTTCATATTATATGTGGATTACGACAAGCTTTATGTGAATATTCGTATATTACTATATCCTTTGATCTAATACTCTCTTAAATTTCCTTAATTAAGGAATCTTCAGCTTTCTAAGAACTTATAAATTGCAGACCTCCTCAACATTGCTTTTGAGCACATCAAAGTGACTGTTGATATTCCAATTTTGAATTTTGAGAAGCTCATTTTGCATGGAGAGCTTAAACAAACCTAAGCAAATACACAGGATCCAGTTTTACAAGTCAAGCTGACAAACACAGTTCCAATGCCAAAGGTGAACCGGAAAATACCGCTGCCCCCTGCTCTTCAACTGGGAAGGCTTTGCCAGCTCTGATCTAACATGCAAACTGGTTAAGGAATAAAATATGATTTCCCTTTCAAAACCGGCGTGAGTGCAGGTTAATAAACCACCAACCCTACCTGTCGCCCATGAATAGAGGCTTTGTTCGAGTTCCAGGATTGTCCATAACGCCTTCATGCCCCCTCTCTGGACACTTGTATAAAATGAATGTTCATCTGTGTTCCAACCATCTCCCAATTTCAACGCCAAAATCATCAGTCACTTTCTGACATTTAATTTCAGCTGCATCACAGAACTATCTAGCTGCTGATGCTATACAGAGCTCATTCGGTTTGAGTCTAAATCCAACCAACACAAGTTTACTTGGCCTTGGGCGTTTGTTGAATAAAGAAGATACCAGTAGGCAGACACTTTAGCAACAAAAACTCGCTATTAAATTTGTCTAACCTACGCTCCTAGGGTGTAACAATGCGCCCTTAGTGAAGAACACTTAATACAGAATTAGTCATTCTGAAGCTGTGCAGGGTAGGCAGCGTCACCTTCCGCAGCGAGCTATGAGCCTGGAAATGTAATGAGCAGAGTTCTGTAGTCTCAATACTGTGCAGGAGTTCCACACGACCTAGAGATGTGGGACCACCTCCGCCTTCCACTCAAGCAGCCAAACTAACCCACATACCCAAACTCACACCGTTTGCTTTACTATCTTTTAGTCAAGTGCGCATATTTATGAGACGTAATGACTTATAGAAGAAAAAAAGGCACTTAATTGTAAGATAATATAAGATACAAATAACATTTTAGTGAATAAAGAATCACTCTTATTTTCAAAAATTCAGTACCAATGATTTAAAGTCTTTCCTCCAAACCAAAACTTGGCAGGCTACATAATGTGAGGTTTTCTTTTAAATAATTATGGCTAATTCATATTCAGCCAGGAGGGCTAAGAACCACAATTGTAACTTTTATAGAACATTTAAAAATTCTCTTTGCTACTCCAAGCACACAATCTCTCATTAGCCTCAGCTCGGTCCACTTCAGAACTCAAGTACTTTTCCACGAGGCAACATTTATGAGCTTTAATTTGTCTTTCAATAAACTTAAAACATGAAATCAAATCAAAAGAATAAAAAGGAGCCATGCCTATAATCTACCAGAGCCAACACGAGCACAGTTTGTAAAAATTTAAAGTTACCTGGAGAGAGAGAGAAAAGCTGCATTAGCCGCTTGTTGGGGACTCAGAGCTGAAAATACAGGCGATTGATGATTAACTTTTAGCCAGGAGCAAACTTGCACACAGCTCTCCAGAGGCCAGTTCTCTGCTTTCCCTTCAGTCTCTCTTCTCAAATAGGGGAAAGGTAGCTCCCTCTCTTTCTGGAGAACTTGCTATGGCATGCACAATTAATTCGTACTTCACACGGTGTAGTGTAGACGGGGCTTAAATTATATCCAGGGTCAAAGAAGGTAACCTGTCTGGCACTTTGAATTGTTACATTTAATCTTCTGGATTCTCCTCTGCTGTTGAAGTAGGCACAATTTCAAGGGTACTTTTTCTCATCATGTAATTTGATATCATGTCTGGGAGACACTGCAAAAATTATGTACAATACGCATTGCTGTGTCTATGAATCGTAGCTAATTCTGATATTGGGAAAGACAGTATTATGAACAATACTAAAGAGGTCAAAGTCACAGGGTTTCATTTTGCTGCCTGAAGTGGACTTCAGGTGTCTTCCCTAGATGGGGGTTCTTCACCTTTTTCTTATACTGAGACATGGCCTTTCAGCAACCCTGAAGTCATGGATTCCGCTAGACTGAGGTAGCCACTGAGCCCCAGCGACTATCATGGCTCCACCTCCTCTTGCTGTGGTGACAGAGCAAGCTCTCACTCTTGGCTTTCTACATTGATTGATGCATGCGGGGGACACATGCATCAGGTACTTCACTGACAGCCATCTCTGCAGTGCTGAGGCATTTTACTAAATAATCTGCATCCATCACTTTATTCTTTAAACAATATAAGATAGGCAATATGCAAACATTTTAAATATGGGAACACTGGGTTTTGGTTTTTTTTTTTCTAGGTTTTAATGGATCTAAGGTCCATATTCCTCTCTACTAAACAGCTGACTAGTGTCTCCACAGTCAGTGGGAGGGGTTTAAGCGCTCATGGTGAACTTGACAAATCCTGGAGCCACTTAGGAAATGGGCAGATGGGCAAGCGTGTGTAATTATCTTTATTACATTTATCAATCATTCCCTGGAAAGAAGATCCTTAGTGGGGAAGTGAGTAGAGCGTCAACATGCATGTGTTCCTGGCTCTCTGTCCCTTATTGGGGGCGGACATTACAAAAACAACTCCCCCCAGCCCCTGCCTCTGTGGTGACCCATGATGGCTGGATGGTAGGTAGCCTGAACTACAAGCCGGAAGAAAACCTTTCTCCCTCAAGTTGTCCAGGTCATAGGATTTTATCACAGCAGCAGGCAGAGAAATAGAGACAAGACACACGGTTTCCAAAGGGAAAGATTCAGTTGTCCTAGTCAGAGGATTTTATCACAGCAGCAGACAGAGAAACAAAGACAAGACACATGGTTCCCAAAGGGAAAGATTCAGTTCTCAAGACCAAGCACCAGATACCAGCCAGTTGTAAAATATGCTTCCAAACGTGTTTAATAATGTGCACAATAATTATAACGACCAATTAATAAGGATAATTCTCTAATAGAAATTTTCTCTGATTTGACTAAATACAGTAATTATTTCTTTTTCTAAAGTACAAGGTAGGTTTCTGCTGCTTCTTTTAAAATCTTGAGTTAAAAACTAAAATGAAAAAAAAAGTATAAGGAAATTCTCTCCTTCTACAAATACAGACCAACACTGAGGTCTTGGTATGGTGAAAAATGGTTGTGTGGATTTTCCCACAACACAGTAAACATACAACAATCCACAGCTGACATTTTGACAGAATCCTCTTCAAACACATTTTTGTCCCAAGAAAGCTCAGCACTGAGTGACTCCTGTCAAAAGACAGATCTCAGCAACTTAGCATAATGAACTGAACAGCTTGATTTTGATTTTAAAATCAAGCAGCACTACCTGCCACTAGCAGCCTGAGCTCAACAGGTTAGTCTGAAACACAGAGGAAGAAAAGGCAGACCACCCTATCCTATCCTACCCTACCCCGAGAAAGAGAGAGAGAGAGAGAGAGAGAGAGAGAGAGAGAGAGAGAATGTCCACTTAAAGTATTTTCCTTGTAAACTTGGAGAGACCAGGACTGAAAATAACTGATTGGTTAACATTTGGCATCCTTTGTGGGAAGATTAAGGTGAGAGGAAAAGTCACTATCTCATCAACTGAAACTGGCCTGCTTGGGAAACGCATCTGATTATCTCTGCAATCTTGGCTTCTCATGGTGCACACATAGCAGCTCATTTTCACACATGGTGTCCCATACATTTAAATCATGGGTAACTCAATTTTAAGACCCAACAACATTTAAGTCACTGGTAACTCAATTTTGCCTCCTTTACTTGGTCTAGATGGGGCCAAGAAACGTAGACCAGGAAACAATGTCTCATGTATAATTTCTAACACTATTCAGGGTTCAGAACATTTATTTGAGATAAACTTCTTATGTAATACAAATGACGATGCAATTAAAAATAACTCCACAGATTACCTCAGTTTCTTTAACAATAAAATTGCTAAAGAATAAACATCACTGACGTTGTCTGTTTTATCTATTGAAAGGACGGCAGTAAGACTTATACACAGAAAAGATAGCTAGTGTTAACAAGTTATTACTATTAAATATACCACAAGTGTTCACTTCATTAGACTACTATATGTTTAATATTTTGTTTCAGTATTACAAGCTATTCTAAATAGAAAAATAAAAATATGCTTATATTTGATATATAAAACTTTAGAGGTAAGAAAGAGAGAAATGATGTAATTCTGCTGTAATCCCCCAAATTAAAAAAAAAGCCATTCTGTAATCAATAAATAACTTTACAAAACCTATATGATGGTCAAGAATATGGATCATATATTTTGCACTTTTAACATCTTTTGTTTACGGCTCTTACAATGTAAAATCCTTAAAAATTCCAGGTGCTGATCAAATCACAGACCATGCTTGTAAAGATTACAAAGCTCAAATTTTATATAGACTTGCTTTGCAAATATATAACATAGTTTTCTTGACACAAGGTATTATGCCTATTAAACAGTCATAACATTTTAAATATCTATTTGTATTAACTCTATCCCAAAATCAAATATGTCTGGGACTTAAATTAAGGGTTAACATTTGCTGTAGTTGGAAAATGAGCAAATTCAGCTGGCTTGACTCCCCACACAGCAAGGATATCGACCAGGGCCTGGCACGTGCAGGCATCATTGTGCCAATGAGCCACCCAAGCGTTCTTTTTCCCATTATCCTTTTATAACTAACAAAAATATATGATATGCAAAGCATAAAGACCTTGCACACTTGTATCTGTCCAACCAATTCTGTGGGATGTGAGATGAAGACAGCAGTGTTGGCTCCGCCTCCCTCTGAGAAAGACAAATGCAGAAGAGCCCTGCTCATGCTCACTGAACCCTAGGGAGACCAGGGCAGGAGGTGACTAACCTTTGCCAAGGTTACATGTTCTCAAGAGTAATTCCAGAGCAATGATCACAAAAAGGTTTGTGCATACAGACCCCCGAGTTTTTAACATGCTCCAGTCCGTTAGGTACAAGAGAGAGATGAAATAGTCCCTGAAAATCTTGATGAAGAGCATGTGTGGCCTTGGAAGAGGTTATTCGCCCCATGCTTGAGTCGTGACAATAAGTTCTTGGCAATAGATCTGTTTATATTCTTATTCCCAAGTTTCAGGCAGCCATTGCATATTTCCCCTGTGAGGTTTTCATGTTGTGCACATTACAGCTGAATGTTAAAACCAGGATGACTGAGCAAAACCCAAGCATTTCATCTGATCAAAAAACCTAAGGAGTTATAAAGAATAGAGAGCCCAGGTATATATTTTAGAAGGAAATTAGTTGAACAACAAACAAACAAAAAATACTCCCAACGTGATCTGAGTATCTATTTGTTCTTCTCACTGGGAATTTTTCTATTTTCTTTCCTGGAAAAAGTACTATTGCATTCATATTCACTAAAGAGAACTGACTGTGATTTTATATTCTGAATTCTAGAATACAGTAGAAGTCACAATAAGCAGACAGCAGAGGGAAACAATCCTAGTTCATTTCCTGAGCTAATTATTCCCCAGAGCAACAACATCAAAGGCGTCTTGTTTGCAACTTTGATATCAAGGACAAGAAGAGAGCTATCAGTCAAATTTGCATCATGGAATAATCCCTTTAAGGTTTCAACATATGAACGGAAAATAAAACAGGGTGGGCAAAGATTTCAAACAAAAAAAATATGTATTTTTTTTAGAGCATTTCTCCTTCATGGCAGTTAATAGAGCAGAAGCATGGAAAAGGTGATGTAGGCAAGGAGACATTCAGGTCCCTTCCTTCTTTGGTTGTTGTCTGTTCAATAGAGCACTGTAGGTATTCAGCTGACAGATGAGCATCCTTCATCTCAGAAACTGTGGTTTCACATAACTCCATGGCATCACCCTCTCACGGACCAGACCAAACGCTGTCACATGTATCGACCCTCTGCCAGTGACCCAGTACAAAGTCCACACTGGCAAGAATGTCTCTTTTTCGGTATGAGATCCAGTTTCCGACTATCCAGACTCATCCATCTTCTCATCATTTCATGGGTTCTTTGTAACTTCAACAATTGCAGTACTCTTCAAATTTTAGCTATAAATCTGTCTAATTAGGGACCACACACAACTGCCTACCTACCCAACCACCACAGAAATTCCAGAAACTCTTTAAATAAAATATAGTATGATTAAGGTGTGTCTTCCATCCACTGCAACAGACTACAACACGAGGATGCACATTTCAACGTTCTCTGCAATGTCTCCAAGCTACTTTAACGAATAAATTACTTAGCTCCTAAGCCATTCTAAAATGTTTCGGTGAAAACCTGTCACTGCTGTTTTAAAGGAAAGCATAAGCCCTTCACCTGGTGACGTCAGAAAAAACAACAACAAAGAAACAGAGTGATATGAGTTGATGAATAAAAGCACTTTCCTTAAAAATCTGGTGACCTAAGTTTGATTCTTAGAACCCCGAACCCACATAGACATGGAAGGAGAGAAACATGTCCAGAAAGTTATCTGACTTCCTTGCTAGTGCTATGTCACATGCATATCTGTACTCAAGTACACACATCACACACCCACACCCATGTACACATACACACACACACACACATACACACACAATAATGTTGATAACTAAAAATTAAACCTTCTCAATAGAAGAAAAGTGTATCCATATGACAGATGATCAATCTGTCCCTGAACCCTAGTCAGAGAAGCTTCTTCTTGAAGTAGGTGGCA